CTTACTTAACATTTTTGTTTTTCAGAAAGGCACTGAACAAAATCTTCAAGGACAAACATGTCACTCCTTATGTGCGACCCCCGACACCAGTGGTCCCCAACCCTGGTCCTCAGGGACCGCTGTCCTTCATGCTTTTGATGAGTCCGGACTCCAGCACAGCTGATTCATGATTGCATTACCTCCTTTGCATTCCTGCAATTACTATAGAAATCGAATAGAAGAACTGCCCTACACTACTAGGGTTAAAGATGGAGGAGCTCACTTTTAAACAGAGGCCTTACATTTATCCCTGGTCAAAACTATACTCGCCCCAAAGAAATGCGATCACAAATCAGGTATGACCTACAGAAGTACCATCAGAGAATTACATTGGCCATTTACTACAAAGATCAGGAAAACAATCTTAGTTACATCAAACCCTTTATGCCAGAATCAGACTGGTCCCCTCCCCTGTGATCCCTGCCCCTGAAGAACAAATACTAATCAATAATGATTTGGAATATTTGGATAACAAACTTAAAATAATCAAAAGTAAACCTAATTTAAACATGGAAGAAACCAAAGCACTCAAGGAACTTATGACAGATAATTATAAAACTGGCTGATAAGGACAGCTCTATTGTTATAATGGACAGAGAGCAATATGTGTGGGAGGGACAAAAACAGTTATATAACACTACATATTACAAGAAATTAGAGAAACCAATCTATAAAGAAACGATCCCTATGATTACCCAAATCCTAGACAACCTGCAAAAAAGAGAAATTTATTAACCCAAAACAAAAAAAACTTTCCTGCTAGGCTCCTCTGAACCTCGGATGAGGAGATTCTGTTACCCAAGATCCACAAATCCCACAAACAGTGGAGTAAAAGTCAAGAAATTCCTTTAGAGAGGCCAATTGTTTCTGACTGTGGCAGTGAAACCTACCACACGGGTGAATTTATTGATTTTTACTTGACCCCCCTCTCAATTCGGCACCCAAGTTATATAAAAGACACCTACCATTTCATTGAAAAAATTAAATTGATTAACATACCCAAAGACTCCATTTTGTTTACAATTGATATTGACAGTTTCTACACCAATATTGATATCCAAGAAGGCAGAAATTCGGTTAAAAACATTTTTTTTAAATATCCAAATTCTAAAAGACCAGACAAGGAACTCCTCCAATTATTAGAAATTAATTTAAAACGAAATGATTTTGTCTTCAATGGTCAATTTTTTCTCCAGATCCAAGGAACCGCGATGGGTAAAAAGTTTGCTCCGGCATAAGCAAATATATTTATGGTGGAGTGGGAAGCTGGAGCCCTGAGTACATGCAGGAAGGCTCCCCTCCATTTCTTCAGGTATTTGGATGACATCTGGGGAACCTGGACGCACTCGAAAGCAGAATTTCAGGAATTCCTCCAGCACCTAAATACACATAACCCATCTATCACAGTAAAGTCCACCACCAGCATTAAAGCGGTGGACTGCTTGGACGCGACAAACAATAAAGGCCCAAATTTTGAAACCACACACAGATTGGACATTAAAGTATACAGACACACATGCCTTACTGTACAAGACCAGCTACCATCCAAAACACACTTATGCTGGCTTGATAAAATCACAACTCCTCAGATTTCATAGAATTTGCACACAGAAAACAGACTTTGAGGAGGCAACTAGAATTCTGTTTTCTGCTCTTCATAAGAGGATATTCCAGATCTTTCTTCAGGGCATGCAGAAAGAACTTCCTTGTGTCCAGGCTCCACAATTCATCCCCAATGATTCCCCTAATCACCACCTTCTCCTCGGCAGGACAATTTGTTCATAACATCAAACACAATTTTACTAAATTCAAATCTGAAACTTCTTTACTCCCAAATCACAGAATAATTGCAGCCTACAAAAGAAATAAGAATCTGAGGGATTTCCTCGTCCGCGCTGAGGTAAGACCCATGAAAAAACCACGGGTCAAAGGTCAAAGGGGATTCTTTAAACAGCTGCACTGGGTACAAAACAAATTGGATAACACAATCTACAAATTAGACCGATCTGGAAACCCTAAATCTAAAAATTGCATTTATTTGATCACCAAATTCATTATGTGGGTGAGACGGGCAACAACCTCCTGACCCATTTCACTCAACATAGATACAATATCAAAAACCAAAAAGAAAAGCATGTACCTCTTGTGCAACACTTCATCAAACACTCTCAGCCTCAGTGCTAGAATGCAACCCAACCCAACAGAGGAGAAGGGCTGAGAGAATTTGGATCAACAGGTTGGACACGAGGATCACCAGAGGTTTGAATGAGGCCTCGGATGGGACCACCAGCAGAGAGTGCCCATGCACAGGGCAAGGGAAGGAGATCCTCTGGGATCCCAAACCACAACACTTATTGTTCGAACTGCAGGTCAGTCTTAAATAGAAAAAACTGCCCCGGAAGCAATAATGTAATAGTTTTTTTTCTGTACTGGAACTTTAGAACATCCAAGTATTCCCAATCCAATCATTGACATTCCTGGAGAAAGTGGAACTGAGCTGTAATATCCGTCTTCTGTCATTTGCCGCGATTCTGAGGCAGTCCACTGCTATGCATATGTGATGCGTGGAAAACTAACATTAAAGGCTGATGATGAACATGTTATCACTACAGAGAAGACATTCAGAAAAAGGGATTCATTTACATATATGACAAACATACAAGTGGAGAGAAACGACACTCTCCATGAAAACAACAAATATGATGGTTTCTCCTGCAACTCCTCCAGAAAACGACAACGTTGGTTTTGACGAGGAGCCAAAGACGTTTAACTTTGTAGAAGAAAATATCCCAGAAAGCAAAATAAATGACTATTTTGAGGCTGGAGAAGTTAAAGGAAATGGGAGAGAAATATGTGTTCCGAAGTGTTCAGTGACGTTCAATACCAGAAAGAAGAAAATTTATGGGATAAATGTTTGCCAATGATTTTCTCATTAATATGTGTTGCATGTTATTTTCCTTATCTTGCTCTTTATTTTGCTGGGACTTCCACACCTCTCCGTTTTACCATAGTTTTTTTTTATATTGTTGGAATTTTAAAGCAAAGTATTGACAGCTTTTATAACTTTACCAGTTTCCTGTTTAATTAGTTTCCATGACCATCTTCAATATTTTTTTGAAGAATCTGAATTAATGAGCTACAACATTTAATTTCCCTTTGTGATTAATATTGCATGTCAATTGGGCATGATAATTTGTTTTATTTAAATTTTGTTTCATCTTTCTTACTTTTATTTTTGTCTGTTCGAAATAATTTGTTTTTAAAAAGTACTTTTGAATTTTGAGTTGTATTTTAATTTGGAGGCTCTCTCCAGGTGCTCCAGCTTCCTGCCAGTCTAAAGATTTGACTGGTTTATTGGTCCTTCTCAATTTTCCTTAAGTGTGAGTAAAAGATAAAATGTAAATAAAATATCAAAAAGTTAATTTTCTGCAAGTGAAGGAAAACTGGTAACTGTTTAAATCCCTAAATTGATGAGAATGTGCTGCCACCATACGAGCTGTTTATGAAAGATTTTTTTTTTTTGTGTGCAAAGATAACGTTAACGATGAAAGCCTAACTCCATTACCAATATGTGTAAATGTTCTCGACATTCAGCTAATGTCGAAAGCACTATTTTGCCAATTGCGGTGTTTTCATTAAATAAGAAACAAAATTAAAAACCACATGTGAATAAGTCTCATAACTCGTACAAAGTCTTTTGTATTTTTTTTTTATTATAGTACAATCATTTTGCTAGTCAAAAAACCACCTCATTCTTGTGCAAGACCTTTTTACTGAAATTTTTTTTTTTTTTTTCCGAAATTGCCGTGTTTCCTATTAGCAAATTTATTTTTGTAATTACAATTTGCGCAGTCGATTGGTCAATGGAATCGCAGCTAATAATGGACGTGGCAGAAATGTGGAATAGCAGCAAATTTGCATATCCATACCGAGTCATAGCTTTGATTAAAAAGAAAATACCTGATTCTGATATGACAGCCATTTTTATTAATATGCAAGTATTGATTCTTCAACACAACGTGTCAAGTGATGCCTCCCTCAACATGCCGATGCTGTCAACGAGGCCAAGGAAGGAAATCCCATTTTATTATTGGGGGAACAATAAACAGGCAAAGTTTTGAGCAATTTTAAGTGGGTTGGCAATGTTAATGAAGTGTAACGTAAAATGTGGTTAATTTTTTTTTTTTTTTGTAAGTGTTCAAGCTGCAGGACAAAATGATTAGTAAATGGCAATGCATGACAGGCGTGTTTTTTTTTCTCAGTAAGATGGGTTTTACTGAGGAGAAAAAATGTGGCTCTGTTGAGACCCCTAGAAGTCAAACTAAAATGCAAATGGTATTTAAATAATGAGTTTGGTTCAGTGGCACTGAACAAACATTTAAGGCTCTATATCGGGGGTCTCAAACTCCAGTCCTGGAGGGCCGCTGTCCTGCAACTTTTAGATGTGCCTCTGCTGCACCACATCTGAATACAATAATTAGGTGATTAAGGCTCTGGAGAACTGAGAACGTAATTAAGCCATTTCATTCCAATGTTTTGTACCTGTGGCACAGGACAGCGGCCCTTGAGGACTGGAGTTTCAGACCCCAGCTCTAGATAAAGTTTTATTGAATAAATCCACTTAATAAAATTCCTCATAAACATTAACTTTTGTCCTGGCTCTCAATGCAAGCTATGTGTTATTTAAATTATAACTCAAGTTACTTTATTTAAAATCTTCTTTTGTTTTTCAATCTTCCGTATGGCTCAGAAATAATAAATATCTGGGAAGTATATCTTTAATTTTATAGAAAAAAATCAGGTTTTGTGGCTCTACGTTGAAGATAGCAAGAAATAAAGTCATGCCTGTTTTTCTATCTGCTCCATCTCTCCTCTCACACACTGAGCTATCGGCCACTCCTCAGCCCCTACCTCTCATTTCAAACTCTTTTCATTAACCTAAGTTAGAGAACTAAATATGATTGAGATATTTGTTAACTTGACAAAAAAAAAAGCTCAAGTCTATCAAAGCAATGTAGCCAGGTTTGCCAGTTTTGATTTACAAGCCTAACAAGGCAGGTTATTATGAGTCAGATGAATAATGAAATAACGAACTGCAGTCTGATTCTTATTGTAAATGTGTTTCTTCCTATTGAGCAGTGAAAGTAAATAAAAGGTGTTGCTTGTCTTTTGGTATAAGTATTTACTTACTGTAGGGTTTTTGTTGTTTGTGCTGCAGAGCAGCAGCTCCTTGTTTCGGCTCTAATGAGCCTTTGCTGCTCCTGTTGCTCCTCCTACACTGGACTAAACCATCGTTCTAATAGGGGGAACCTGGATTCTTACTTTTTTATTAGATGAATCTTGGATTTATTTCGTTCTTTGTTTCTTTTACCTTTTCATATTGATATTGTTTAATTACAAAGGTTTCTTTTATGGTTTCTGTGGGAGGGGGGGGACAATTCCATACTTTTCCAAGATTGGGGGGATCCGAACTCTCCCGGGATTTCCGCCCATTTTTTTTTACAAAAAATATATAATTTTGTCAAACTACCATCTGCTGAAGCGTTAAAAACATAAAATAGCATTAAAATAACATATCCTTCTCATGTTTGTTTATTTCTGGATACGTCTTAGTGATGTGGCAGCTGTTGATTGATTCAGCCTTGAGAACCTCGTTCATCCACGTCTCAGTTCTTCAGCAACAGCTTCTCAGACTTCATGTTTCTTCTGAGAAAGTTTAAAGAAACGGTTCAGGCGGGTGTCACTCGGGTTAATCCTGACTGAAGTGTAAATAGCTGAACAATTTTTTTTTGTTATGGAAATGTTTCTTATGTCTTATCTTTTATTTTTCCTTTCACTCATAACCCATTTAACATAGATTTTCTTTCTTTCAATTTCTTTTCTTTCAGAATTGTGTTAAAGTGACACGTTCATTATAAACTGTATACGAATAAACAAACATTGTTCCAAGTTAGCTTAATGGTCATTTGTGTTAAAAATAAATAAATAAAAAGAAATGTCATGAACTTGGGTGTTTCCCCCCCAAAGTTATTCTTGGTTTTGATTAGATAAGACTTCTTTCTCTCTGTTTAACTTTACACCATTTTGTTAATAGTCATTTTAGTTTAGAGTTTATGGATTTTCATTCAGTTCTTGGTCATGGTTATGTTTCCGTGTTTATATAACTCCTTGCTCCACTTTGCCATCTCTCTCAACTCTGCTCTCCCTTCACACCTGCACCTTGTTTTCTAATTTTCATCGTCCCAGCGTTCAAACTCTCAGTATTTAACCAGTTTCTCTCATTCATTCTTGGCTGGATCCTTCTGTTATGTGGTCCCATTATTTTCCCCCCAGTTCTTGCTCCCTTACAGCTGGTTTTATAAGTCCTTGTCTATTTAATTTTTAAAAATATTTACTGATGGGCTTTTTACATGTACAGAGCTAACGTCACGTCCACATGACCGAAATGCAACTTTGAACAACTTTGACTGCTAGGAAAGATAAACTTGTGTTTCAGAAGCAAGTTAAAATTATATCATGAACACTGTTGTGCACCTACATCATCTTCAAAATATAATGAGCTTTTAAGATTCCAAGTTAATTCAACATTCCAAGCAATGCTAAATTAAGAAGATGGTGGTTCGTGAATATTCGTCACAAGTTCAACATCACGCCACACAGTAAAAGTTTGCAGTGTCCACTTCACTCCAGATCAGATCATTCACTCTAAAAATACTGGAGGTATTTTTAGAAAAATACCCTCAGTAAAACTACTGGGGGTATTTTTGGAGCAATAAGTAGAGGGGCTATCCTGGTATTGCTTCCATGGAACGACTCCTTCAAGATTGAGTAAGGAAATCCATGAGCAGATCATGGAATGTAATCCTCCTGTGGGCCACTATTACTCTGTTCTTGAACCCGTTGGAGTCGACGTGGCAGTAAATAAAAACTTGAAGTTAAAAGAAGGAACAGAAATAATAAAGAAAAAGATTTTTAAAAATCCACCTTTCAATATATGTTCAAATTATGATTCACAGGGTCTGGCGAAGACATTCGATTCTCCCCAAGTTAAGCTAGCACGCTACAAATTAGCTTGAGAAGTGGGTTAGGGATATAAAACATAAAAATGTCAAAGTAGTTTTGCTACATAATGGTTTCCACTTTTACTTGAGAATTTTTGGTTACTCAGCCCACTTCTAGTCACTAGTTTTTTTTTTATATGACTACAAAAATTTAAGCCATAAAAATTCATTTTCAATTAGCTGTGGGGGTTTTAGATTTTGAAAACGTAAAACAAACTGAATATGTACTTACTGTCTACAGGCTGTCGATACGGGGTCACTATGCAGACTGGATGCTGCAGACAGATTCCAAAAGAAAGAAACCACAGGACTTAATTATAAATACTTTGTGAACCGTTTCCATCAAAGATGCCTTCTAATATCATGGAAGGAAAAAGTTTATTATTTATGTAGGATTTTGTTTATTTATTGATTTATCCTTTTGTGGTTCAGCAGGAGGAAAAATCCTAATGTGGTCTCCACTGATTGCACCTTGAGCACCATGGATCACCTCATGGCCAGGAAGGCCTGCAAAACCGACTCCCACTTTCTCCAAGTCTTCCTCCTTGTGGAAATGAATGGGCTTGTGGAGGATGGTCATCATTTCATCCACCACATCGTGGAAGGTTCAGCAAACTGAGGTTGGCATTTGCTGTTCACTGAATGTGAACACCACCAATCCTAAGGTGGAGTTGGTAAAAGCATACTTTTCAAAATGTAAATGTAGCTGGCATAGTGAAAGGTGGTGATGGCCCAACCACGGGCCATCACCACACAAGTAAATGTTTGGCTTCCTTGTTTTTTTATTTTTTACAATGTGGCAGTTATGGACTTTTGGTTATGCAGAGTTTAAGATGACTTGTGTATTTTCCGTAAAATCATTTCGTTGTCATCTTGCATTGGGTAGCAATGAGATTGTTTTGAATTAAAATCATGTTTGATCATTTTCCCCTAATAATCTTGTCTTCAGAAGCATCAAACTTAAATCAGGATGCCATAACTTTTATGAGTGTGAACATATATTTTTATTATATATCCTTTTTCATATGTTTATTTTGCTTAATTTTACCGTAAAAATGTGTTTAGGGGGGTTTTTCTAGGCCCTATCATTAACTTTTGTATTGAAGCTTATATAGTGTTTTAAGCTTAAATGAAGGTTCAATATATATTTTATATTATATCCAAAAAACATTGCTTTTTATTAAAGAAACAACAAAATCAAGGTTTAAATACTTTTATTGAAGTCTGATACATATTTGTCAAACAAAGAAGCAACTTAAAAAGTGTGTGCTTAAGAGACCGTTGTCAACAGGAAATACCTGCAGCAAGCTCAGAGCAGCTCAGAGCTTTGACAGGAAGAGACCCCTCGCTTCAGCATCTCGCCGACTGAAGGGGAATTTTGAAACTTGCCATTGGAAAATGTACAAACAGCAACTTAGAGATGCGTCTCTGACTTGAGCGGTTCACACCTTCACCTTTTTTGACCGTCTCTTGACCTTTTGTTTGGACATCACCCCTCGTTCAATGTGTCTTGGAAATAACCTGATTGTGTCATAATGTGTGGTTGAGGTGGTGAGGATGAGGACGCGGAGATCCAGGTAAGATGAAGAATGATGAATTTAATGATAATAGTCCAAGCACGGAACGGCAAAACAACTGACGGCACAAGGAAACGGGTAACGCTTGACATACGACAAGGATCCGACCAGGAACACAGACAACAGGTGAGACTAAATACACTGGGAGGGTAATCACAGCAACGAGACACAGCTGGGATCAATCAATGGGGAGGACAGGACAGAGACTCACAGGGAAACGGGACTAAACACGGAAAATCTCAAAAATAAACACACAGAAACACGAATCATGTCAGATTGTCTGTCTAGCAACAGACATTTCCCTTTTTCACACCTGCGTGTGTGTAAGAACTATAAATTTGGAATGTAACTGTATTATGATCGGGAATTCACTTTGATTTGTTATCAAGTGTGGTTCTCCGTCTGCAGACAAAATAAATTTACTTCTCAGTAGCCTGCTGATTTTTAAAGATCTTTTCTGAAAGAAGACTTTTCAAAGGCCTAAGAAAAACTGCGTCAAACTTTCCACCGTTCGCTGTTGACTTCGGATGTTTTGTCTCCACACTGTCACCAACTTTAAACAAAATGTTATTGTGGTTGCTCTGCCCTTTGTCTTATCCTGTTTTTTCTTTTTTAATATTGTCTCTAACGATGTTCCTAAGACTTCCTTGTATCTTCATGTCCTCAGACGACTCCTCCACCGCAACAATGTCAATCTTTCAACACAAAATTAACATTTCAAGTGTCAGTGTAAATATGTCAATTACAGAGTACATACTAATCATATTAACGTCATACCACAGAAAGATATCAAAACATATTCCGTAAATGAGTTGACGATGTCTCTTGAAAGGGTTTATCTAGCTTTCAAAATAATAGAAAAATACTTAAAGCCTTTGCAGAATAAAGTCAATGTCACATCTGTGATACATTGAAAGTAGATGCTTTACATGACTTCACCTCAATCAAACTTAAAGCAAATACAAAGTAGGCAATAAAAAACATTTAACGGTTAAGAACTGATCATGGAAAACTGGAATTTGTGACATAAATACAATGCCATCAAAAAATAGAAATAGTCTACTAAGTAGTGTTCTGGAGCTTTGGAAGGGCACTGTGCCTCTCTTTAAACATGAGAAAGTCGGGGTATTGCTGCGCAGTTATTTGCTTCTTAGTGCGAAGCCCAAACATGACAACATCCAAGTATTCGTCTCAGGTATTTGGACGGCCAGCCACAACTTTACTCAGAGCTCTGAGATGCATGAAAGGTCTAATGTCACACGTAGATCTGACCTCTTAAAATTTCCAAGTGTAACCTCTCTCACTCGGTCGTCACGCTCTTCACTGCACTAGTATCAATCATAGTAGTAAATCACTCTTTACAGTGTGTGTCTCGAAGCTGCATGCAAGTGACTTCACAGCTGAAAAATAAAAAGAAGACACAGTTAGTGACATGACCGAGTGGTCAGCCACAAACACCAACCAGCGCAGCTTCCACTCGTAGGGTCATATTTTTCCAGCGCAACCACGAGATAGCTGTGTATGAAATATATTAAATTTGTAAGACATAATATTAAACATAATAGCTGAGGCATAAGAACTTACAGCTGCACTCAGATTCTGAAAATTCTCCACCTCTGTCTCCTCTAGATCAACATAAGCTGCTCCGGCTCTAAGAAACTGCAACTCTTGGGAACAAACTAAGTCCAAGTACTCAAAGTCAATGGGCTGCATGTTGAGAGTAGAAACGACCCTATTTCTAACTCTTTATAAAAGCTATGACTCATAGGGTCATATTTTTCCAGCCCAACCACGAGAAAACCCTACAAATTATATCCGTAGATGTTGGATGTACTTACAATATTTTGTGAATGTGTTGAACTACAAGAATATGACTCCAAGTAAAAAATGTTGGAAAGAGCTGCTTCACTCTCACCTACCTCCACCAGCATTTCTCAGTATACTGAGGAAGCCATGAGGGCGCCTGAAGGACTCGTTGCATGCAGTCCATCACCACACCACTAGGTGGCTTCAAACAACCAGAAATCTCCCAAAAATACATATTACTATTATTATTATTTCAGGCAAAATTCAAGCCTATCTATATACACATACACACATTTTTTTCTCTGCTACACAAGCAAGTGTTCATGTTGTTTTGTGATCTTTCTTTCAAGAATGCATGTATTAGAGATAGTACACATCTTTGAATGGTGCCATTCATTTTTTCCACCAACCCATTGGTTTGTGGATGGTATGGAGAGCAAAGACTTCTTTTGATGTTGAATTTGCACATTTCTTGATTTATATGCAAATTTAGAAAAAAATAGACTTGTTGGTAAATTAGTTGTGGTACACAGGGAACAAGAAATTATTCCAGACAGCTGAAATAATTTGTTCCAAAAGTATCTCTTTAAGGTATAAAGAGCCACAGCAGCTCAAAGTGTGCTAGAGATCAAAGTGGGAGACCTCTGACCCACATAGCAAAATCGATCTTGGCCAGATCCGGCCCACATGGCACAATGAATGACGGGGCCCCCATGGCCCAGTGCTGGTTTGCCAGATGTAGCCCATATGAAGCCAGATGTGGACAAGGTTAGGACACACCAACTGGCCCACGGCTGAATCATGTACTCTTTCACCTCTGGCAAAACAAACCCGGGCCACTGGTGGCCCGTCATTCATTGAGGCATCTGGGCCGGATGTAAATGCCATTGTTGCCCCCGACAATTTTATATTATGCAAATGAAATACAGTGTGTTGCAAAACAATTATTTTATTAATACAACTTGATATAAAAGACAAACCATTTCATTTCAAAGATATATATATATATATATATATATATATTACAAAAATATGAACTTAATAAATTATAAAAGTCAATACTAATTATACATATTTGTGAGTTACAAAAATATGAATATAAAGCTAATTTTATACTATATACAATTATGTATATATTATGTATACCACATAATGTGTATATATTACATATATATACTATTGTATAATGTGCATTACTTAACATTTGAGTCTGAAAATTTCCTTAAGTAATGAAATTAAAACTCACCTTGTAACGTTAAGTTATTTTGTATAATATAGTTATAAATGAATAGACCTGAAAGACATCATTTTACAGAAAACAGACATATCTATAGACACATAACTCTCTCTGTGGACTTGATAACGCACTACAGAAGTACACACACATACATGCATTACCTACAGAGAGGAGAAATTCATAAGCCCTCTGCATCTTCGACATTTTTCGCCGTAGCAGTGGATTCCAAATGAGTGATTACTGTCATGATGTGGGGTTGTTGGTGGTGAGGATCGCACGCTGAGACCCAGGTAGATGAAAAAATAATAAATTTAATGAAAATAAATCCAGCAGAACAGCACGAAGGAACAACTGGAGACACGAGGAAACAGGCAAAGGTTTGACAATGTTAGACAAGGACCCGACGAAGAACACAGACACAGGTGGGTTTAAATACACAGGGAGGGTAATCAGGCAAGTAGACACACCTGGGGGACAATCAACGGGGAGGACAGGACAGAAGCACAGAAAATGTCAAAAATAAACACTCAAACACACGGATCATAACAATTACATCTGCTACCCACTTGCTTGAAGCCTTTTCTTCTTTAGCAATAAAGAAAATAGGCTCATAGCCTAATGCATGAAGTTTTTGCACGTGCAATTGATAAGAGCATGTCAAAAATTACTTAAACCTACCATCCTATTAGAGTAGTTGTTTTTCATCTTTAGCAACATATTGGTAAAATATTTTATGTTTTCAAAGTCATGTGTGCTTTATGGTGTTAACATCTTCATACATACTACTATACATGGAAAAGTCACAGAAAAAAGGTAAATGTAGCAGGAGTACAAGTTACATTTTGCTCATTAAGAGAACTGATTACATGAAAGAAATAGGTTTTCAGCCTAAGAATTTCTACTTACTGCAATTTGCGCAGAATCAATTATTCGGGAAACGTTTGTTTTTTACAGCTGTTTTCCCTCCATTGACTCCATCCACAACTTTACTCAGAGCTCTGAGATACATGAAAGGTCTAACATGTCACACATAGATCTGATTTCTTAACATTTACAAGTAAGCTTGCATGTCGTTTTGTGATCTTTCTTTCAAGAATGCATACATTAGAAATAGTACTCATCTTTGAATGGTGCCATTCATTTTTTCCACCAACCCATTGGTTTGTGGATGATATGGAGAGCAAAGACTTCTTTTGATGTTGAAGAGTTTGCACATTTCTTGACTTGTGTGCAAATTTAGAAAAAAAAAATAGACTTGTTGGTAAATTAGTTGGTTGCCGTGGCATGGAGGGGTCAACAGGCTGTTTCAGATGGCTGAAATATTTGGTTCCCCCCAGGTAACCTGAATGGCGATGAAGACCAAGGCGACAATCAGGTGAGTTCAACAAAAGTATCTCTTTGACGTATAAAGAGCCACAGCAGCACAAAGTATGCAAGAGAGCTCAGTGGGAGCCAACTGGGGACAACACAACAGAGAATCCAACAACTAAAGGAGGCACAGGTGAACTTATATATTCACAGAGTTAATCAGGAAAACAGAAAACAGCTGGAGCAATAAGGGGCAATTGATAAAACAAAGGCGTAGAAAATTAACCAAAACAACAAGCGACAAACCTGAACCATGGCAGTAACTTTGGCAAATAAAGAGCAAATATTTCCAAATTTACATAATTTGTTGTCCATGAAGATGGGAATAAACACAGTAAAAAATAAAAAAAATAAACTTGCTGGTAAGCTGATTTGTTCCCATGTGTTACATCCACCAAGGGCACAACATATTCATAAAATAAAAATATTCACAAAATATTCATAAATTCTCTTCACTTTGATTTTCTTAGTTCAGCTTCTTCTGATTTTCTGTGAAGAAAATAGAGTTTAGGCCCTCAGATCCCGTGTCCCAAAAAAATAAAGAAAGAAAAAACCCCAAAAGTTATTAACAAAGTTGGACCTGGTGAGCCGATTAAACAGAACAAAACGGTACAGCAGGGGGCCAACCCTATACAGGGCCGTCGAAGCCCCTACTAATACCGGACTAAAACAAAAAGAACCTAATGCAAAAGAAAGATCGAAAACAGGACAACCGGTCCCACCAGGCCAAAAGCACAACGAAAAAACAAACAAAGAAAAGCTAACAGAGATACCACATGGCAGGCTGGAAACATCAGCTGCGGCCCACAGCGGCTGGACTAGTGCCGACCACGACAGGTGGTGGTGGAGCGAGTGGAAGGTGGAGCTCAGGCGGGGATGGGGAGCGTCAACATACCGAAAGCCAGCCTGTTTATAGGCAGACCAACAGCGCCACAAATTTATGTAATTAAATGACCAAAAAGAAATTATCCAAACTCCAAAATATATTTACAAAAGGTCATTCAACTAAAGTATATAAGAAAACAAAGAAAAGAAATGGACAAAAATCATAATGTGCCTGAAGCACATAACACCATGTTACAAAGGAGGAACAGGGTCATTGACATGGAAGGATTTCCACCAGGCTAAAATAAAAAAAAAAAATGTACATCCATTGCAATCATTAAAACATTTGAAATGTTGTGCACACAGAAATCATTATTAAAAGTTAAAATGAGACTTTTAAATAGTTTACTTAACGTTGTGCCCATGGAAACAACATGCAATGTGTCCATATTTCTATAGAATCCAAATTAATAGAGAAAAGGGAAATGAAGAACATTTATTTTTACACATTCTCAACTGATATTGCATGTCGTCAAGTGAAATTTTTACATTTTATTTTAATTTCTAATGTGGCTTTCTTGCAGACTTTGCATTCTTTAGCACTTGGTCAAGGACTTTATTTGTGGGCTGAGCCAGAGTGGATGATTTTACATGACAACTCAGTTTTTCACACAGACTTTTTGCATTTTCTTACACTCCATATATGCATGAATCTTTTAGTGACCTGCAGAGTGTCCTCATCATAAACATTCCATAAATTAACCAAAATGACCATCAACAAAACTAGGATCATGACGACACCCCCCACCCCGTCCCCATCAACGGCGACGACCAGAGGCCAAATCAAACCACCACTGGTGAAGGGAGGGGGGTGCTGGAATGAAGGCAAAATGTCCACAACGAAAACAAAATCAGTCCAGTGCGCCACCATGTGGCCGGAGTGGGTGTAAGCTCAACAATGTATGGAAGCCTACCAAAATGGTGACGGCCTCCCTTTAAAAAGTCCAGAGGGTGATGATGTGGAGGGCTGAACCCCTCAGGACGACCCGGTGGACGGTGGCGAAAAGAGCAGAGCAGAAGTGAAAAGTCCAGCTAACAGAAGGCAGACAACCTGAAGAACCTCGGCTAGGCTACATGTCCTCTAATGGTTACACACGTGCATCCTCCATAATTCACTATTTTATTGGATCTTTCTAATCAGACCTATAAAGTATATGAACTTCAATCTTTTTATCTTGTAAAAAGTCTTCGCTGCAAATCCACGGTTACACCGATGGCTGACAGTCCTTTGATTGGCGGCTGCTCTCCATCGCCAGCGTATCTTTATCATTAAAAGTTATAAAATGAAATGACAAGTTTGGTTTGCATCGTTGTCTTTAAATAGAAGTGATATTAGGTAACCACATGTCTGGTTTATGACAGGTGTTACAGAAGCGTCCAGGTTGTTCTGACATCATGTCCTCTGGTGTTCCAGCATCTAGGATTACAAGGGAACAACAACTTCCTGGTTTGGATAGGGAAGTTAATTTCCCCCTAATAATTTTGCTTCCTGTGTGCATATTTTATTTTTTGCACACTTTTCCACTCACAACACATAAATAACTATTCCATAAGCGGTCAGAAGAAAAACTTACTTAGCAAAGATGTATCATAAATCCAAACCTTCATCTATGAGAAGTTGGTTCCTGCTGTTCAATGGGGATGATGGTGGAGGAGTCAAAGAATTACATTAAATAAACATGATAATTATATTAAACAATGAGGAGAAACTAACACTTTCAATTGACAGATATGAGCAATTCAACTAAAATTAATGCGAAGCAAAACTGGTTATTCCTGTTTTTTTCTGGATTTTCTGTTCGAAACTCTTGACATTAAATTTTAAGCTGCAAGATAAAGATCAGCTTTTATACTGGAGCTGATTTTCTCACTTTGACCAGTTTGTTCTGAAAACTAATGCATTACTAGAAAGGTAAGCAGGAATATAAGGGATAAACTACAAACAGTGATATTACAGCTCAGCACGCGATGCTGAATAAACAGTCAAGTTTTTCCTTGTTATTTTCCCAAGCTATAGTTTGTTGCATCTAATTATTTTTCCTTCCTCTTTATAGTTTGTAAAGGGTTTCCTGGTCAAACCTGTTCCTGCTTTGTTTTGAATATTTAAAATATGAAATGGTAAAATTCAGCTGCTATTTAGAGA